ACACAGTGGCTCCAACCCAAACCAGTTCCTTCCGGTTCCATTTGCAAAGCAGCAGGAAGTGGAGGAATCCGCCAAGGGCCCACCCACGAAAGATAAGAGGTCAGAAGATTATCCTGTGCCCTGTTTCTTATGACTTTGTTTCTCCCTTCTGAGCCTTGATACATGCTTTGAATATGTTTATTAATGTGTTATGGTACATCAATGCCACTTACTTGCTACTGCTTACAGCAACGGAGTGATAAAAAACTGGCCCAGTCTGCTAAGAATTTGTTTTCCTTTTTTTTGCATGTAAGCAGGTGTGGAAAGAATAGTTCAGTTGTGAGTTTTTCTGTTAAACTTTCTTTTTTACTCTCATCTGTGTGCACCCTACACGAGAAGCTCTTTTGTTTCTTCCCAACTCACATAGGAACCTTTGGGTAAAGGGGCTGAGCCTCTTTCTGATCTACTTGATTTCACTCTGATTCTAAGAGGGTCTTCCAGCCCAAAGAGGGTGCATGCCACTTATAAAATCTGTGAGTTAATGTCAACATTAGGAAACAGTGTTTTCTAGACGTGGCACTTCTGTGCTGTGTTGTAACTTGATTTAAAGTGAAGAATAGGGAAGTAATAAACCTGGGTTCATGGTCTGGTTTAAGGTCCTAGAGCAGCGGTTCTCAACCTGTGGGTCGCGACCCCTTTGGGGGCCGAACGACCCTTTCACAGGGCTCGCCTAAGACCATCGGAAAACACATATATAATTACATATTGTTTTTGTGATTCATCACTATGCTTTAATTATGTTCAATTTGTAACAATGAAAATACATCCTGCATATCAGATATTTACATTATGATTCATAACAGTAGCAAAATTACAGTTATGAAGTAGCAACGAAAATAATTTATGGTTGGGGGTCACCACAACATGAGGAACTGTATTAAAGGGTCGCGGCATTAGGAAGGTTGAGAACCACTGTCCTAGAGGTTGAAGCTTCTGTTGCTATTTAACCAGAGTAATAGATCTGTGGACCGTCTGATCAGTGCAGGGCAAAGCAGTGGGGGTGTTTAGCATAATTGTAAGTTCCACTATAAAACCTTAATGGCAGTGGGACAGAGGGTGCAATGGGGAGCAGGGAGAACCCTAAGTAATCCTAAAATTTTAAAATTAATATCCTAGCCATCTTTACCAACTGGATTTCATGTGTTTTATTATAATTCACTCTTCTGAATTGCAATAATAATACTCTAGTACAGCCTTATTATAACACTGGCTTCAGGGAGCAGGGGTAATACTTGTGCTCTGCTTGATGGCTGGAGAGTACTGTGTAGCCTTTGCAAGGTGTGTCTGCTCCCTCTAGCTCAGTGATGGTGAACCTTTTGAGCTCGGCGTGTCAGCATTTTGAAAAACCCTAACTTAACTCTGGTGCCGTGTCACATATAGAAATTTTTTGTTATTTGCAACCATAGTAAAACAAAGAGTTATATTTTTGATATTTATTTTATATATTTAAATGCCATTTAACAAAGAAAAATCAACCAAAAAAATGAGTTCGCTTGTCACCTCTGACACGGGTGTCATAGGTTCGCCATCACTGCTCTAGCTCACCTTCTGAGAATTCACGGGTAGATTGAATGGATGTTAGCTCCATGCCTGATGTGGAAGGTAAGTAAGTGAGTGGCTTTCACTTGGATGTCGAATGGTTAGGGCTGGTTAAGACTGGTCTACCAGTCACTCACTTTGTAGGTGCCCTGTCATAGCCTGGCCCTGGATCCGTGGGCTACTGTAAAGCAAGTCAGATTGAAAGGAAGGGAGGGAGGTCTACAGCTGCCTGCATTCTAGGTACTTTCCAGTTTACTACTCGCATAACCTTTGAAAGTAAGAATTTTCATCTGCATCCTGCAGTGAGGAACCTGGCCCCATGTCTGCACAGCTGGTAATTGCAGATCCAAGATTCAAGCTCAGCTCTTTCCAAGTGGAGAGCCCCTGTCCACTCCAGCACCAATGCACCAGAGTCTGACAAATTCCCTTGGGAATTCATTGTCCTTACAGCACATTTATTGAGTAATTGCTGTCTGTAAACTACACTGTGCTGGGTGCTGGGGGATAATCTTAAATGAGCAAAAACCCATTTTTCCCTCTCACTTCAAATGAAGCGTGTGTTAGTTCACAATATGGAAATATATAACCGCCAATTATTAATTCTGAAGGGCTTTATTAATTCTGAAAGTTACACAAATGCAATCAATAGGTGCATAGAATATTTCATTTATCTTTCTAAGTACCCCAACCCTCACAATGAAACTTTATTAGTTGCTTTTTTTTTTTTTAGGATGCTTATACCAACTGTGATTTATTGGGCCAATTTTGTACCTCATAGCCTATTGACTCACCTACTTTGCATTTTAAAAAATCTCTTTATTATTTTTTAACCTACGTTTACATTTACATCTCCCATAGGACAACTGGGAAAGCCATTTCGAGCCCAAGCTCTAATTATCTTCTGCTTAATAGCAAAGGCAGTTCTGCTTAAATCGATGTCCTCTGAAGCTGATAAATTAGTCTAAGAGGAAATTCCTTAAATCCACAGTGGATAGTAAAGGGAAAAAATAAGTTTATCTTCAGAGACTATGCTATTCTTTTCAATTTTCACACCATCCAATACATAGTCAACAAACACTTATTGGGGGCCTAGTCTGGTCACTCCTCAGGGAACCCCAAGAGAAAAACCCCTGCCCTTATGGATCTTACATTTTAGTGTACATGTGCATTTGTGGGCAGAGATGTCATGAAATGCTGTGTTTTGTGTAGTAGCCATTTAAATTCAAATATATCCTGCAGCAACCACATAGCTGAACCTCTAATAAAGTATGCTAAAGAAGCCAAACTCAAAGGAGCACATACTGTATGGGCCCATTCACAAGACATTCAACACTGGTTTTCGGGTTTGCTCGGTTTGTGAAAAATCATTGAGGTGTATGGTATGTGTACGGTATGTGTACTTTCTGTATGTATGTTATACTTCAATCAGACATTAACAGAAACATTCAAATAGAGACACAAAAATACATAACCAACTATTATTGGTTATTTCTAGATTAACTATCTGTTAGGAATACATTCTCAGCTCTTCTCCATATATAATTGAGAAAACACTATCCTATATAATAAAAGGCCAGTGATCATAAGCATAACGAGCAGAACGACCACTCGACCAGTCACCGTGAGGTGCATTCACCACCTCTCAGTCCCTCCCCCTTGGCCTGCAGGCTCCGATCACAGCATACTGATCGCAGCATGGCGAACAGGGAACCATGGCAAACCAAAGTGAGTGGGGGGCAGGACTGGCAAGTGGGAAGAATGGCCGACCTTTTTGTCTCTCCCTCCAGCCCGCAGGCTCCGGGGAACCAGAGCCATGCTGCGATCGGGCAACCACAGTGAACCTGGGGATGGTGGCGGGGAAGGACTGGGGACTGGCGAGAGGGCAGAAGATGGCCCTGATCACAGATGATTTCGTGTGCTGGGCCTCTAGTATTTGAATAAGTCTATTGCAATAGGCCTATTAATTCCATGGGAAACATTTATCCAGTCTTCAGAATTAACGCTGCTTATTCATTCTCTCGATGTGCAGAAATCCTCTGGTCATCTGCTTCAGTGTCGTGGTGTTTTTGGAAAACTAAGTGTATTAGGTTAGATTTTAGCACCTTTTAAAACTACCCCCTGGAGAAATGGAAAAAGAATCATACTACCAGAAGAGAAACATCCACAAACCCTTTCCCTGTCTTGTTTTTTGCCGGGACAACAGATACTTTGGGTTTTGCGTTGGTGTGGTTGCCTTCACTATGAATGAAACTAGTTGTCATTGAATGAAAACTTCAAGAGTGATAAAAGCATAAGAGAGAGGGCATTTGTGTGTGCATACCCATGTATCTGGGGTGCTTTCTCTAAGATTATAGGAAGAGGTCTTTAGAAATTACTTTTTACCCTGTAGTAAACTGTTATGAAACTAAAGCATAGGATCTGGTAATTTTTGCTGAAAACCCCACAATTGAATTTATTGGAAACTGAAAGCAGGAAGTTTTTCTTTACTTAAATAACTCTTTATCCACCATCAGAATGCAGAGTGGAACAGCCTTTCAGAGCATAAGAAAGAACCTTCTCTTAAAATCCCCTTTGCAGAGGAGACAGCCCCGGTGGGAGCTGCATCTTTAAAACGTGCTTAAAATATGCCCTTCTGAAGTTCTAATTTTGTTTTCTAACTTGACCTTTCCCTTTGCTTTATCAGACACATTAAAACTTAAAGTGTCTTTATCGCAGAGGGTACCTCTTTGTAGATCAAAATAATCAGAAGACTATCAAAGATTGTAAAAAACACTTTGGTGTTTCAAGTGATGGAATATCCAAGTCTGGTTTGGATTAAGGCTGCCCGTTTTCTAGGAATTGTGGTTTTTGTCAAATGCATGCAGAAGGCACTGATTGGGGTTCTGGTTGGAGTCCTGGTTTGCTTTCAGAAAACTGCAGAAAGGCTCTTTGATGTCATTTGTGCAAATGCATTAACACGTCAGGGACAGGGCCAGTAAGCACATGCTTCTATGCTGGGTGTCCATTACAGCTCACTAGGGCTGAACATACGGCATGAACAGCTTAACTGTTTGTGAACAACCCTAATGCAGGTTTGAGTGTTTAAAAGCTGCCTTCTCTAAACATTGTGGGTTGCACCTAAGTAAGCCTTTTGTGTTTATATTGAACAGATTTGTTTTTGTGTGGGTAGCATGGGGATTCCTTTCATTTCTCCTCTGTGTTTTAATACACATTTTGCATTCTTTAGAACTGTCAAGATGCCCCTTTCATTTGCAGAAGTTAATGAACATCATTAATTGTATAATGACACTTTTCTTTCATTATAATCAGGGGGGAAAAAACGTTTGGCACAATTAACACTTCACCAGCAGTTTTTCTTTTCAGCTCGGTTACAGCGTTAACCTTGTCTTTTCAATCCTCTAATTTTGTATTTGGTCTTATAGATACGGTCCGAGAACTCCTGTGTCTGATGACGCAGAGTAAGTTGTCTTGTATTCACAGGAATACATTAATTACTAGCCTAAACTGCATGCCTTCCGTACTTACCACTAATGGAAATGCAATTGGTGCAACAGTGAACTGAATAGCTAACCGACTTGTGCAGCCTCAAAAAGCACTTGAAGTTGGAATGCAGAACATATGTTCTGTGCAGGAGAGATGAATGAAAAAGCAACTAAAGCATGATTCTAATATGCAGCTGCTGCCTAAAACTTAACATTTGCTTTTCATAGACGGGGCATGTTAAAGTTGTGCTTGTTACCATTTGGATGTTGGTACCCTTTCTGAACCAGGGGATTATTAAAGCAGAATTCTGCATTTGAATTTAAGTTTTGGTATGTTAGGGCTTGGAGTTAACAACGAAGCAGTCGTTCCCGTGGCCACAACATTTTCTTAAACTAAGAAAATAAATCCTAAACCACTAATTATGGATTCAGAAGCCCAAGTTCCTCCCAGGTTGCAGTAATATAAATGTTGGGATTTTGGGCAGGTTCCGTGGCATAGCAAGGACTTGAGATGTAAAACAGGACTCAGGCTTCCTCTCCCTGCGTCCCCTCCTCTCAGAGACCTCAGAGATCCACTGCCCATCTCTGCCTCCCTCCACATTTTACAAGAATCCACATTCTTCCATTTGGGACCACATTGATTCCATTTCCAAAATGGACTTCGCATACACAGAAAATTCTGAAACGAACATCCAAGGTGCAAGTTTTCTTAGCAGAATACTAGCTTCCTCAGATTGGAGTAACTTGCATTTTAGAAAACAGGATTAATACGTAATTCCACCCTCAGTCGCCTGATGTCTTTCCTTTTGAGAGGCCTTTTTCCTGCTCTGAGCCGTAATTCCCAGTCCTATAGTGAGGAAGCCAAATGATGGTGTGGGACACACACAACTGTCCTCTCCACCAGTGACAAGGAGAGTTCGCCCAAATTTACTGTTCCCTAGTTGTGCTTTTTCCGTTTTTGTGCTCAAGATGTCAGCTTGGTTTGTACTGTCAGCCCCAAGCAGTCTGCCTCCAGCACCACGGATGTCACTTTACGTGTGATCTCTCATTGCTTTGTGGCCTGACATACGCAGCATTCACGTCTCACAACCGAACCTAAATCCAGCCTGAGCTCGGCTGATGGCATGGAGTTAAGTCATCTATAAAATTAAGCCCTGGTTATTACTCTTAAAATCTGCAGTGGCAATATTTACCAGTCACTGAAAGGAGGATTACATAAGATTGATGGGCACAACATGACTCTGAATTGGTAGAAAAAAATATTTTGATAGAATGGATTTATTCTTCGTCAGTGCAAAGACACCGTGCAACTTGCTGAGCGAGATCTCTGGGAAATCCTAAAGGTGAAAGAAAAGAGCCCTATTAAAGAGCTCTTGGATTTTGCCTGTCCCTGAATAGGAAAACTCACCCACAGAAGTTAATGACTTTTGTAGAGGGGCGGGGTTGGAGACTCCCTTCGCTCCTTCTCTATATTTACAGGGAGCAGCCTTATGGAATAAGAAGGGTAAATGGAGCTTCTTTTCCTGACGGCTTATCTAGGACTCTCAGACGTGCCAAATTTCCTTCTTGGAGTAGACACCATTCACGTGAAACCACGTGAGGAACAAAATGAAAAGTTTATATGGGGATTTTATTTTTTAAATAGAACGTCATACTATGTTTCCTTTAATACCTCACTATCTCCCCTTTTCAAACATGTAAGGGCAATATTGGCACAGGCTCTACTTATTCATAATTGACACATTCTTAAAATACAGCCCAATCAAAAAAAGATGTGCCCTCAGGAAAACCCAGGTCAGGGGCAGACCCACCACACAGGCAAACAGAAATTTCCGCCGCCTGGCAAGCCAGGAATGTTTCCGTCTATTTAGTTTCACCTTCTTGCCCTTTTCCTCCTCCTCCCCCAACACGCTCCCCACCAGCAAAGCACTGCGCTGTGAGAGCCACAGGCCATCTTACTCTTAATTCCCTTACCTTGGACTTGGCCCCGAAACAATTTCCCAGCTCCCTTTGAGGCAATTTAACGCCCCCCCCCCCAAATGCCAACCCACCACCAAGAGAGACTCCCGGGCTCTGCAGCCAGGGTCCCTTGTCACCACAGCCCACGGCTTATTGTGTGAAGAAGCACAAGTTCAGTGCAAGTCACATTCATGTTCTGGAATCTGGGCTTCGTCAGGGTCCCCCACCCCATCCTTAGATACACCCTTCTGCATTTTGGAGGCTGAGTCCGACTTCTGAACTAGGGAGCATTTTCTGAATGGTGACTCAGCCTATTTTCTGTCTAATATTTTCAATTCTCAACTTGCTTAGTTCCTTTTTTTTTTTAATGTCCTAAAGACATTGCTCATAGTTTTGCTGTTTCCTTTTTGGCCAGTTTGCTGGTATTTCTTTAAAAAACAAAACAAGTCTGGGAAAAATACTGCTTCCTGGCATAGAAGAGGGCAAACAGAAGTTTCTCTTTTTATTTCACTAACCAGCTTTTGGCCACACTTGGGCTGAGGCAGTTAGAACTTCATGATAGGACAGAGGTAGAAACCCGGACAGAAGTCAGAGCTGAAGGCATCGCTCTTGAATCTCTCTCTGTCATGTGAGGTAGGCGATTCCCAGTCTTGGCGATGGCTACCATATTTTCCCTGGGTTCCCAGAAGAAGACCTGGCTGTATGGCCACATATTGTGGCCTAAACCAAAATTCTGCCCTTTAGAAATTATATAAATGACAAAGTCAAAGGAAGGGACCGACTTTCGCTCCCACAATCTGCCAACTACTGAATAGATTACAAGAGCGTCCCAGCTCAGAGAGATTTTTATCTGCTAAGATCTTCACAAACACTGAATTGCTTTAAAAGATGAACTGACTAAATCGAATATATTTAAAGGTAAGATTTTTTTTTTTTAACTCTGAGAGGAGGAATGGGGTGAATTCCGGTCTCTTTCTGAAAGCCTACTTAAGTGAATTTTGGTCCATGAAGTTCAAAAAAAATATGGGTTCTACTTTTCTACTTAACTCTGCAAATTCCTAAATCTTTCCTAAACATAAATAAATAAGGGGACACTCGCAGTCCCTCCTACCTCTGGAGGACTCCAGCTTATCTGGAAGGCGTGGCTCCCACAATCAACACTATCCACTGACATGTGGGGGCGCCTCCACAAGGTGGTTTGTCACATCTGAGCTCAGATAAGAGTTCTCTGTGGTCAGATTATTAGGATACTCTTGGGGAAGACAGATTATAAGTACAGTCTTTAGTTTTAGCTCTCCTAGGTCAGATTCAAATCGTCCAACATCAAGAGAGATTCATTGTGCAGATGCATTTTGAGTGGCTTGAAGTGCAGCTGGGCAGTCACTGCATTGGGGGTCACGTTCCCTCCCAGAGCGCTGCCTGCTGAGGGACCCGGGCATCCGGCAATGCTGCCTGCTCATTGCCTGGGCCTGGCAAAAACTATTTTGGACATCGCTGATGATGTCTGGAATTAGTTGGGGTCTAAATGCATGGCTTTTCTTCTTCTTTGTGTTACTCTGGCTTCAACAATGGACTATCACGGTCTCCTGTTCTTAGAGTGAACTTTAAAGGGCCCTCCATTTCTGGATTTGGGGACTGTGGAACCCACGTGGTCCCAGAGCTCCTCGTTTCTCTGAGAGGGAAAAAGAAAGAGAAGGGAGGACTTTGCTTTGGTTTTTATTTCTGTTTCCATCTTGCTGCTTAAGCTTCTGCTGGAACAAAGCTCTATGTAAGCATTACAGGAAAGACCTCAGGGTCTAGCTTACCATTTCATAAGCGCCTATAGAATATATTAGGGTTTTAAATGGTTTTCCCTATATTTTTTCTTGTGAAAGAGTAAATTCAGAGGTATCCTGACAAAAATGAAGTAAAATGATTCTGAGAATCTTAGGATACAAAGTATATAGTGATTTATATATTTTATTCCTTAATCTTAATATAAAATACCTTATTTTCTTGATTCCAAGATTCCATCAACTACACTATCAATGTGCAGATTTATAGAAAGTAGAAATAACCACATCAAACACACGTGCATCACTAATGCGCAGTTGTTGGATGCATCCACAATTCATAACCTAGTGCAGTATGAAAAGATGGGTGTCTTAGACTTAAGGCCATGTGATTTTTTTTAATGGGGAGATTGCCTCAGTTCATGTAAAAAGCATTTAAGCCAGGTCTTTACGCAAAGAGCATGTACTGTAATGACGTTTCTCCTGGTGGAACGCCACCCTCCTTCTCCACAAACTCCCCAAGCTAAACCTTTCCATTCTCTCTTTTTTTTTTTTCTAATACATTTCCAAATGAGAGAAACCCAGAGCTTCGTATACCTTTTCTAGCTCTTCTTTAAACATGCTTTGGCACCTACTTGTATAATTATATTGACCCCTGAAGACAAAGATGGTCACAGTTTGGCTTTTGCGGCAACAGGAGAAGCGGTGGGGGCGCTGGCGTGCACGCTGCTGGCTGAGGGCGAGGGACAGTTTTCCGAGCGAGCGCGGTAGCGCCCCCACGCGGCGGAGCGGCCCAGAACGCGCAGAGCCGATGGCGCTGATCCCGGTCCATTTTTGTCTCCGCTCTCTCCACACTCAGGAGCACGAGTATGTTTGACATGCGGTGTGAGGAGGAGGCTGCGGTGCAGCCGCACAGCAGGGCCCGCCAGGAGCAGCTGCAGCTGATCAACAGCCAGCTGCGGGAAGAGGACGACAAATGGCAAGATGTGAGTGCCGGCGGGGCGGGCCGCGGGAGGCTGCCCAGCGCTGTGGGTTAGGGGCCCTTTGAAGCAGAAAATCCGGTGGGGTGGGTAGGCCTGGATTTGAAAGCCATGCAGGGGAAGGGAGCATCTAGAGGATTTCAAACAGGGACACAGTAAATGCGGGCATTAAAGGAAGGTTAAAATAGCAACATGAAGGGTGAGGAGTGAATGACAGACAAATAATCCGCAAGTATCCTAGGGAGAGGGATGGCCACACAGGAGGGGGGAACCCGCGGGAAGCAACTGGCACGAGATGTAGAATTGAGGAGGCACGTCTTTTGAGATTATATATTTGACATTAATGATGATGATGATGATGATGAAAACGATAATTACCAACATTGAAAGCGTATCAGTAACAGGCACTATTCTGAGTGCTGTGCATGTAATAATTCTTTAATCCTCTTAGTAACTTGATGAGCCAGCAACTATTACCATCGTCCTCAATTCCACAGATGAGTCCCAGGACAGCTGAGTAACTTGCCCAAAGTCACACAGCTAGTGAGTGAGAGAGCTAGGGAAGGAAGGCTGCGGAGTTTGACTGGGGCCTTGAGATTGTCGGGGAAGAACTTAAAGGTAGGGATGAGGGGAGGGAGAGTGGATTATTTCATTCAGTCCTCACAGAGCACTCCAAGATAGCAGTTGCAAACCTGACTCTACCATTAGTCAATTAATTGTCATGATAATTGTGTCTACAGTGTATTGAGCACTTCCTATGTGCCTGGTACCTTATATGCACTGTCTCATTTAACTCTCACAATAAGCTTATAAGAGTAGGTGTTAATATCATCCCTGTTTTAGAGATGAGGAAACTGAGGTGCAGAGAGGCTGAGAAGTGTGATTCCAAAGCATGCAAGAGAGAGAGCTGGGGTCATGTCCTGAGCTGCAGTCCCATCCATCTGACTCCAGAATCGTAACTCTTCGTCCTTAGGCTGTAATTGCCTGTAGGTTTTGTGGTGAGGTTGTTATAAGGATCAGAAAAAGTAAACATACAGAATTGCAGTTTCTGTGAGACCCCAAAGCTGATTTTTTTTCTGCCTTTTCGTTCTTCCCTGAGGGCATTGTGTAGGTCTGTGGTTAATTCCTACCATTGTACTGTCAACAAGTCCACTCACAATGCAAAAATCATAAAAAGCAAGAAATGACGTTTTTTACAATCCCCTGTGAGGCAATACTTTAAAGTTTGGAAACTGCCATGGGATATGATTGCAGATTTCACATTGCCATGTTTAAATCAACGTGCTGCCCTTCGGGATATTCCTATTCCAACCAGACCTCCACTGGATTGGGTGGGAATGCCCTAGCATGGTGCCTGGCCCATAGTCAGTGCCCACTAAACTCTGAAAAGTAGAAATGGAATTTAAAAAGCCTGAAAAATATGTTTTATCTCCGCCAAACCCACCCCCACAGGACCTGGCTCGGTGGAAGAGCCGTAGAAGAAGTGCTTCTCAGGACTTAATCAAGAAAGAGGAAGAAAGGAAAAAAATGGAGAAATTAATGGCTGGAGAGGATGGGACAAGTGAACGGAGGAAAAGCATCAAAACCTACAGAGAAATTGTTCAAGAAAAGTGGGTCCTTTCTGTTGTTGTTGTTGTTGAATGTACAATATTATCTAGATGCGTTTTTGCTAAAAATTGTTGGTTACCACAGAGGCTCCTGTGCTGTCTCTGCAGCTCCCTGCAGTTTTTGTGACTGTCCTTGACCTCTGTATTGCTTCTCTCTCCCATGCCCATGCTGCAGAGAGCGGAGAGAGAGGGAGCTGCACGAGGCATATAAGAACGCACGGTCCCAGGAGGAGGCGGAGGGGATCCTGCAGCAGTACATCGAGAGGTTCACCATCAGCGAGGCTGTCCTGGAACGCTTGGAGATGCCAAAAATCCTGGAAAGAAGCCATTCAACAGAGCCAAACTTCTCCCCCTACCTGAACGACCCCAACCCCATGAAATACCTGCGGCAGCAGTCACTGCCTCCCCCCAAATTCACTGCCACTGTGGAAACCACCATCGCTCGTACCAGCATTCTGGATGCCAGCATGTCAGCAGGCAGTGGGTCTCCAAGCAAAACTGTCGCTCCCAAAGCAGTGCCTATGCTGACACCCAAGCCTTACTCCCAGCCCAAGAGCTCTCAGGAGGTTCTGAAGACCTTTAAGGTAGGGTGAGTCCCTTATGAGCAGAACCCACGCTGCACTCCAGGTAGTAGGTGGAAAGAAGCCTCTTGCCTCAGGAAAATGCAGTTATTTTCTTCCGTCTGCAAAAGAAAATGCAAACAAAAGCAAAATGTGTTCACACTTACAGTCGTGATGTTTACGTGTCTCTGAGGTTTGGTTTGCAAATGGTTAGGGAGAGATGATTCCCCCCAATTCCTGCGGTTAATATTGAAGGGCTCCAATGAGATTGATGGTTGAGTTATTTCCATGAGCAAAGTCTATTTCCTAACTTGATATAATGGCATGGTCTATCTATATTAGCTTTCACAGGCCCTAGTTTAGTAATACCCTAGGTATCTCTAACTATCTGGAGGTATTGCCAACCCTTCAAAACAAGATTTTAATTGCCTTCGTTTAAATAGAAGTGTGTACAGTTACATCTCTTTTAGGGAGTAATTGACACTACATCCAAAAAGATGGCAACAGTTGGGAAAAAAAATACAGGGAACACATGGAAATATGGGGATGTTCTTAGTCCTGGAATGAAATGGGTTTTTGAAATATTTTTAAGTGGAAAGAAACTAGGTTGTTGGTTGGTTTGTTTTTTTTTTTTACCAACAAATATGTAAAATAATGTTCCAGAACCAAAGAACGTATGACAAGCAGACATCTTTTCACTTTCTCAAATTCCAGTGTTTTCCCTCACATCATGAGGAGGCACTCACCCTTTGTCTTAAGCTCTGTTGACTACAAAGGAAAGTCAGTTCTCACTGTCCCTGCACGCCACATGGGTTGGTAATAGAAGACAGCGGTGGAATTCATCACTAGCAGACATGGGCATGTGCCTGTGAAGAAAGTTTGCTTAACCAAACTAATTGAGCAAAGTGCTGCTTGCTCTCTTCCTATTGAATTTCAGAGGGGACCAAACCACACTTCCTGAGTTTTGCTTAACTCACTCTTTAAAGAATGTCTCTTTAAAACCTGTGCCTTTGGCTTTGATGACACAGAGGAAAATGTCAAATCTATTTCATCTGGGTTGAATTGCGATGTTTGTCCCTTGAAGGGCTGGGGCTGTGTCTTTGTTGTTCACAGCTTCGTCCTGAGAGCCTGGCATAGGTGCCCAGGAGGACACAGTAGGCACTCAGCAGGTGTTTATTGAATAAATACGTGAATTTTTTCCTGAGAAGATGAGTTATTCATCGTGCAGACTCATGCACGCACAGATAGGCACTTACCCCCATATGCTCGGCAGCTCACCCAAGCCCGGCCCAGCTCTCCTTCACCGAGGACCCCCAATGATGTACTGTCTCAATATTTCATGAAGAAAGGTTTGATGTTGCGGTGATTCAGAACAAGAGTAGGGAGAGCCGTATTTAACTTCCAAGGCATATGGTCAGGTCATGTAGATGTCCACTTCTCTTCACTGATGAGAAATATAATCATTTAAACAGAAGAATTAGGCCCTGAGAAAACCCACTTCCTTCCCTTTGTGGCAAGACTGGGTAGAGGCCTCAGGAAGAGCCCTGATGGAGATGGGGATGGAGCAACTTGAGTAGAAGTCCTCTTAAAGCTGGGCTCAGTCTTCACCACCAGTGAGCCCTTGACTCATCCCAAGCATGTCAAACTGGCGGCTGGCAGGCTGCATGCGAGTTTGACATGCTTGTTAGGCCTTAGCAGCTCTCAGCCTTATTCATAGCCCCACCACTGAGTGGGTGGACCCACTTGTGGTTAAGGGCAATATGTAAATAAATAGCTGTTACCAGATAATGCCAGAACAGACGCTAAGCGGTGCATGTGTGTGAGTGAGTGTTTGTGTGTAGGGGGAGGGGAGAAGAGGGCAGAGATAAGGAGTTGGGAATACAGGCTCAGTTTCCCAGTACACCAGAATTAAGAGTAAAGGAAGATTAAGTGAAATAGTTTAAGGCAGTGTTTTTCTTTTCTTTTTTTAAATTGATTTTAGAGAGAGAGGGAGAGAGGGAGAAACATCAATCAGCTGCCTCCTGCATACCTCCCACTGGGGATCGAGCCAGCAACCTGGGCATGTGCCCTGACCGGGAATCAAACCGATGACCTGTTCATAGGTCGATGCTCAACCACTGAGCCACGCCGGCTGGGCAGTGTTTTTTAGCCTGAAAGTTGCCACCTATTTCTATGTTATGAAACCAATTTATTGGTTTGGAATCAACATTGAAAATAAATGAAGTATAATTGAATACAATAAAAAAAAATGCCTAGTATATCACACACAATAAAGGTAAACATTGTTTTGCAGAACTCTGGTTTCAGTTGTATTTGTGTGTGCTTAGTTGTGATTTAAAGTTCTTCCTTATGGAGTACAGACAATAGAGTATGCAAGCCACTGGCCTAGGTAAATAAAGTATAATTAACATCTGGCCTTTCATTGTTCCTCCTGAAAGATTTTAGAAGGCCTACTAATAATAATGACTAAGATTTCCATACTTAAAATGGACAGGTACGGTTCTAAACTCTGGACATAGATTAATCCACAAAATCACCATAATAGCACCATCAAGGAGATACTATTATTGCAAATTTTGCAGCTGAGGGGTTGAGGTTGAGGATTACATGGCTGGTAGGTTGTCAAATCTGAGGCCCTTGAACTACAGAGCGTCCGCTAACAGTTATTTTACATACGGGCTCAAACCTCAAGTCAGAGACTTCCAGATGCCTCTCAACAAGCCCAACTAACCACCTCTCTGCCCCTCCTTTCCTGCTCTCACTGCCTTCCCTACACCCAGGTGCACAACAAAAATATATTAATGTGCATGGCTGTTTTTCTTGAAAAAAATGAGATTATAAAATTAACTGAAAGTAGAGATTTACTGTACTATAGCAAGCATTAGGTTCCCTGCCATCCATGATTGTGTCAAAAAAGTACCCGTTTTCCCCTACTCCCCAGAATAACCTGTAAAATAGTCCTGATCTGTGGTGGGTTCTACCTAATTTATATGCTAATCAGTAAAGAAAACCCTCAAAATTGTCAAATAACAGAATTTAAATGACAAATTACTGGAACCCAAATATGTGGCATGTATTTATACATATAATAAAGAGCTAATATGCTAATTAGACCAGATACGGAACGACCTTCCCAAATGACCAGTAGGCAGGACCTCGGGACCTCGGGACCAGGAGGCAGCCAGGGTTGTGAAGGCTGAGCCCCTAGCATGAATTTCGTGCATCGGGCCTCTAGTTTACACAAAAGTTTCTGTGATTTTCTTTACTTTAAAATAAAAGCACACCCTAAGTTAGGTGAATGTGAAATATAATTTAATGTGAAGTGGCCTGAGAAGGTGAATTACCTTTTAAAGAACCCCTCTAAGATAACATTTATAAAAGCCCTAATTGCCAGAGCCAATCAAAGCATATAAGAGATGTTATTCTTTGGTGGACTATGGTTATCAATGGTAATGTTGTCAGGTGATTCTGAATGTGTTATTTTGTTACTCTTTCTTTGGGGAATAGCATGTTTTTGTTCATTCTGGTTTTTATAGGTAGATGGGAAAGTCAGCATGAATGGAGAAACAGTTCACAGTGATGAGGTGGAGAAGGAAAACGAGTGTCCCACGGGCGCACTCGTCCCCTCATTAACCAAATCCCAGATGTTCGAAGGTGTGGCCAGAGTGCACGGGTGCCCAGTGGAGTTGAAACAAGGCAGCAATAGCATTGAGATCAACATACAGAAGCCAAATTCTGTTCCCCAAGATCTGACGGTAAGAACCAGACTTTTTTTTTCTCTTTGGGATAATTCCATTGTGAATGAATCTGTTTTAAAAAGTAAGTAGGGCTTGATAATGACCAATTCTTTCTACATGGATTTATTTGCTAGGGCTGCCCTAGCAAAGTACCACAAACTGATTGGCTTAGACAACAGAAATTGACTGTCTCAGAGTCTTGCTGGCTAGAAATACAAAAATCAAGATGTTGGCAGGGTTGGTTCCTTCTTTGGCTGTGAGGGAGAATCTGTCCCGTGCCTCCTGCTGGCTTCTGGTGGCGCAGCAGTCTCTGGCGTTCCTTGGATGGTAGATGCATCCCCCTGATCTCTGCCTTCATCTTCCCAGAGCCCTCTCCCTGTGAGCGTGACTGTGTCCAAATCTTCCCTTTTTTATAAGGACACACATCATACTGGATTAGGGGCCCACCCTATGGACCTCTTCGTAACTAATTACACCTGCAACAACCCTATTTTCAAATAATATCACATTCTGAGGGACTAGGTAAGGGTCATGATTTCAACATATAAATTTGGAGTTCAGGGGGGCAGGGAGACATAGTTCAAATCTAGTAGATGGTTTAATATAAAATATAAATAGAAAAACTTGTCGTCACATCTGTGGGGCCAGGTGTTATAGAAAAATAAATCAATCTCTCATAAACTTTTTTTTCTTTCTGTTTGTTCAGGACCCCATCAGACTTGTTAATATAATTTGAAAATAACCGCTGGCCTCAGAACCTGGCTTTCCATCCTTGATAATATGTATAAAAGGGAAGCTTTCTTATTAATTAAAAAAACAAAAACTCGCCCTGGCTGGTTTTGCTCAGTGGATAGAGCATCAGCCTGTGGACTGAAAGGTCCCAGGTTCAATTCAATCAAGGGCATATGCCCGGGCTGTGGGCTCGATCCCCAGTGGAGGGGGGATGTGGAAGGAAGCCAATCGATGATTCTCTCTTATCATTGATGTTTCTGTCTCTCTCTCCCTCTCCCTTCCTCTCTTAAATCAATAAAAATATATTTTAAAAATAAGTAAACAAACAAAAACTCATTCGTAATCAAATTCAGAGTAATTAGATGCACCATTGAATGGCCAAGCTGATAAATGTAGGCTAACTCAAGAACAGCAGAAAAGAAAACTCAAAAGAATATTGTATTTTCCCCTTTGGCGTATAAAATACTATTGGGAAGATTCCGCCTTCTTAGATTCCACACCAGAAAGGCTCCTGCTGATCAAACCCAAATTTCCACCAGCTCAGACGCAGGCCAGCTTTCGGGGTGCAAGCTGGACGCTGCTCAACCCCATTTGTTCTCACCAGAGGCTGATGTCTGCAGTTTTAATTTATAGCCTTTGGGTTGGAATTCCAAAGGATGGGGAAAATTGTCACGATTTTTCCCCAGCGCCTAGAAAGGTTTGGTCATGAGGAAAACTTGTCTCCCAGCTCCAGGGCTGAGTAGATGAGATGACCCAGCTATCTAAGCCTTCCCCCCTCTCCCCCCCACGGGTATTCTTTTTCTTATCTCTGGCATTTGTCTTTTGAAAAATATGTTTTCTTAGAGAGCTGGGAGGATGTAATTCTTCCCCACAGAGCTCAAGCCCTATGAGATTCCGATTGGAATAGACCAGAATAATTTCCTCACCATGGTAACAGGTTCCCTGGTCTCCAGGAGCAGGGTTTTATGATCCAGGCAAATGCTGAATCTCTCAACCTGGAATTTCATTTGACTTTTCCTGTGCATGTTACCCTCTCTGAAGAGTTCTTACAAATCACCATGAGATAAAACATTGCGTTCTCCTAGTAAGAGTCAACATTAGCTTATGCTCTTAAAATTTCTTTAAATATGTTTTCATTGATTTTAGAGAGAGGGGGAGGAAGAGAGAGAAGAACATGGATTGGCTGCCTCCTGCACAACCTCTACTGGGGATCAAACCCACAACCCAGGGAGGTGCCCTGACCTGGAATCGATCCAGCGACCTTTTTGGTGCCCAGAACCATGCCCAACCGAGCCACACCAGCCCGGGTGACTTATCCTCTTACGTTTAAATGAGAAGTTCCCAAAATTAATTAGACATTACAGTGTTGGAATTGCTTTTCTGGGACAGTCATTCTGTCCCTGTTTCTCTTTTGCCACACTTCCTGATGAGCGTTTTCTAAGTCCCCTTCAGAAACCTTTTCCATTCCTCAGTTTGGTTACCCTGTCTCTCAGGTCGCCGGCCCTTTGCACGCACTGTCGAGCACAGCTCTTTCTCACTGTGCCTTGGAAAAGCAATCGTGTAGGTGCCACACGTGTCCCCCGACACTTGCCACATCACAAAAATACACGGGGTTTACTCAGGCCCAGCAGATGACCTACAAGAGCAAGTCCTGGGGGCTTTGCTGACCGGCAGGCCTCTCTCCCCCTCACCAGCTCTGCCCTCTGAGACCATGTTGTTGTTTGAGTTTGGAAACCCTCCCCCTGGCTGAACAGGTTTCATTCCTGACAGAAACTAAAGGAATAGGTGAAGAGAGCAGATGGCATAAGGCCTAAACTTCCTAAAGCAACTATTTAATCTCTCTTATTCTAAGCTTTTAACTCTGGGGGGGCGGGGGGGGGGGAACATTAGCTATCCTGCACAGAGACTATGGCCTTAAGTACATGACTCCTAAAGCAGAAGAAAGGGTGTTTTTGTGTGTTTGTTTTTAGAGCAGTAAAAGCTCCCTTAAAAAAACTATGCTCATTCTCAATAATTATTAAGTTTCTTATTTTCAATGGTCAAAATAAAAAGAAAATTGCCTGTTCTCTTTCAATGCAATGCATTTTCCACTTTAACGTGGTTATGCAGCTAAACTCTATAAGGGCAAAGAGAGGATGGATTGAAAGATTTCACATTGACTGCATAGCCACCCAAAATATCTTATTTTAAGAGAAGCAAAATGAGGTTATCTGAAAGAAATCAGGTTATTTCAGAAGTTTATGCAGTTTATAGCAAGGCAAACCCAAACAAAACGGTGGCCGTGTGAACTTTCCCCTGGAAACTGGCCTGATGCTGGCAGCCTCGGGGGCAAGTCCAAACTACTGGAAACGCCTGCAAGTCTCTCCTCTGTGTCTCTTCCTTGGAAAACTGCCCAGTTTGGAGTAATTTCTAGTTTAATAAACTCTAGTGGTTCCAATGGTCATTTATTTTCCCTGTCTCTAGTATATTTTAGGCCCCTGAATTCACTATGGCAGGGCCTCTCTCTTTATGTTCTGGGTAGATAACTACTGGGGTGTATCTATTAGACTCGAAGCCAAGTTGTTAGCTGTACTGCATTAAATGTTGGCTCATTCCTAAAACACTCTTCATGCTTACCTACAATTTGACACCAAAAGTTTTCCATCCAGAATGTGTTGTTCCAGAAGACATTTTAAAAGACTCTCTTCTCCAATCAACCTGCTGCTTGTCATACTTCCTTTTCCATATTCCAAAGAAAGCGTTTCTTGACTGTGTTACAGCCAGTTGGTATTCTTTTCAAAACGGTAGGATTGATTGGTGATGGCAAAATACGGTGACCAGCTTGAAATGTGGGGCTGCTTGGGCTTGATACCAGCTTGGACCTGGTTTGCTGTTTCTAACTCATTTGCCCTATTCTGTGGGGCTGTCAAAGGAATAGTGTTCTTCTTTTTAAATAGTGTCTTTCTTCCAAAAACTGCATTCCCAACAGATACACTTTTTACAGAGGAGTAGCCTCACCCACCACTAAAATGTCACAGTCCCTTCAGGGCGAGCTGGAACTAGTCAAAGGGCACAGCCACAGTAGGCAGGGGCATTCATTCAGACCAGAGCAGCAGAGAAGGGTGGCCCTGGACTCCAGGAACACAGGGGTGTCAACCTCCTGTGCCAACAGGACCACATTGTGCGACATTATGTCATCACTTCAGTTTCCTTCTACCTCCTCTTTCTCATTGGAAACTCTTGGAACCACAGCTCTCTTACTTTAGAAATAGATCATAAACTAAGTTAGGCTTGCTATCATTGTTATCACTGTTACTCTGCTATGTCTACTGATACCAGCAACTCCAGATCATCCTCCCTTGAGTCATCTCTAGGTAATGAGGTTGTGATGGCAATGACCTCGCCAGTGGTTGCCTGTTCACGACAAGGACCTACTCTGTGCCACATTTTTTGAAATAGAAAAAGAAACTCATAAACTTTCTGGGAAAGCACTTTTCATAAAGCAACTAGAAAAGTATATAAAACTACATCTAAGTGCTAGGTAATAGGGTCAAAAGAGTAGAAGGGATGTAAGATTGCAAAGAACAGGTAAGATCATTACGGGTTGGGGTTTGTCGGGAAGGTCTTATGTGGGATGTGGATTTCTTAACGGGAAGTGTAGGATTTGCATTGAAACGGAGGAGGGCAGCAGGCCATCCCATATGCTGGGAACATCCCGCCATTTCCGTATTCCATATGTTAGCAATGCAGAAACAAAGGCACAGACAGTGGTGAGGAGCCCACAGGAGGGGATCATGGGGCTGAGGGGTCATGAGGGTGACTCCAAGTAGAGGGACAGGTTTCCTGTCTCCTTCTGCTCATCTCTGAGATAGTTCCCAGTGGAAACCGAACACATTTTTTCTCATTTTAAAATATTGGCTTCTGTAAGGAAATTGTGCCATAACACAAATAGACTCCTAGAATCCAGGATTGGAAGAGAATTTGGTAGGTCTTCTAATCTGAGAATAAATTTATCTTGTTCAGTGACCTACAGAAAGATGTTTTATATCTCCCTCAAAGCTATCCCAGTGTGTTCTTGAGCCCCTGTACATTGTATTTGTGCGTGAATCTCTTCTTTTCTTAATGGTACAAAAAAATGGCCCTTTCCTAAGATGCCTAAAATACTCCATGCACTAGGTCAAAGATCAAACCCCACCTGAGCAAGTTAAACTGGCTGAGCCTCAGTTTATATGTAAAATAAAGATAATAATAATATTGGGAGAATTCATGTATATGGAGCACTTAGCATGATATTAAAGCAACTCATA